CCTCGATTTGGTGTTTTCGTGCAGGAGAGGTCGAGATTTTGGGAGAATGGGCATTTTGGCCAGAAGGGGTAAAATACCCGGTCATGAGCCAAAATACCCGACCGGGTATTTTGTTGGCTCGTGCCCGGGCCCCCTTCTGCCTTCCGGGGCGCAAAAAAGGCCAAATCCCCGACCTCAGGCCAAAAATACCCGACCGGGTATTTTTGGCATGAGACCGGGGATTTCCCTGCTATGATACGCTGCGTTTAGAAAATCCCCGATCTCCCGCCAAAAATACCCGACCGGGGATTTTTGGCGTGAGACCGGGGATCTTGCCTCATAGAAACGCGGCATTTGGCAGATCCCCGGTCATGGGCTCGAAAATACCCGACCGGGTATTTTAAGACCCGACCGGGTATTTTTCCTATTTAAAGGAATCCCCCGGTCATTTCTCTCTCTACCCTCATTTTTTCCAAAATCCCTCTCTCTACTCTCAACTCCTCTCCCCTCTCTCCTCTTTGGGCCGCCGCCGGCCACCGCCTTCTGCCGCCGACCGCCACCACCGTCGCCGGTCACTTTCCGGCGACTTTCCGGCGGGTTCCGGCCACTTTCCGGCGACCCTCCTCATCCGATTTTTTGCCTCCCCTCGCGTCCCTCACCCTTCCCTCGCGTCCTAGCTACAGTTCTCCTTGTGTTTCCAGGTGTGTTTCTTGTTCATTTCTAGTTTCTGGAAAATTGAACTGTAGATTATAGGACCGAGAACTGTGTTTGCCTGCCTGATTTAGAGTAGGGTGAGGGATGATTGAGCTTGTATGTGTTTATATGTGGTATATGTGCTGCCCGTGTGCTTATTGTGGTTTATTCTATGATCTTGCCTTGAATTCCGGTTGAGTTGATTTCAATTCAACCGGCTGTGCTGATCTGTTAGCCTAGGTGAGCCTGAGTGTGGGGGAAGTGCTGACCCCATGCCGTTGGTCCTGACAATATTTTTTCTTGGCTCCACTTTTGGTTTGTTGATTTTGCAGGAACATGTCTCAGGACCATCAGTTTGTGCAGGGTCTGCGCCTGCACCGGGAGTACGCGGACCAGTTCCGCAAGGTGATTCGAGGGAAGCTGGAGCGCCACCACCATCTTGAGTGGGCGGTGTTCGAGCAGCTCCACTGCTTGCAGGAGCTCCGCACCGCCATCAGTCACCGCGATTGGCGGACGCTGCTTTCCATAGACGAGCCCACCTTCACGGAGCTGGTGTGGGAATTCTACACCACATTTCAGTATGACCGCACGAAGCCCCGGGACGCACATGCGGTGACATTCCGGTTGGGTGGCTATCACAGGGAGCTGACCGTCGACGGGCTGGCCCACGCCTTGGGGATCGAGTACCACCCGTTCGATCGCCACGAGATGGAGGTCCCCACCCCGACCGACTGGAACCAGCATTCCTTCTACCGCACGATCGCCCGGCCAGATTATCGATATGACTACTTCGATGCTGGCCAGACCTACGTCAGCACCCTCAAGCCGCAGTGGCACATCCTGAACTTGCTGATCACCCGCTCCATTGTCCCCAATGCCACCGGCTCGCATAAGATTCCGAAGCGGGTGTTGTATGCCATGTACTCGATGGGGTACCCGGAGCACATGCTCAACTTGGGTTCGTTCGTGGCCACCACTTTCTACCGGTGCCGCGGGCATCCCACCCACCTCTTCTGTGGTCCCCTGATCACCCGGTTGGCGAGGCACTTCGACATCAGCTTCCAGGGGCTTCATGATGCGTCTGAACAGGGCGGCTCCGCACCCCTCAGCCGGGACGTGCTGCACAGTGCCCGCCTCCTGGCCACTGCCGACACCCGTACATGGGTGGACGGGCTTTCTATACCCCCTGCGGAGGTTGTGGATCTTGATGAGGAAGAGGAGGATGGTGACTACTCAGGCGATGAGGAGGTGGATGAGGATGCTGATGATAATGATGACGGCGCCATGGATGCCGATGAGCCGGAGCCCTTGCTCTCCCCACCAGGGGATCTTCAGCCTCGACGGAGACCGGTGCCAGGCGAGTCCTCCTCTGGTCCTTCTGGTCCATCGATGGCCTCCGGCCCGTCTATGGACTTCTTCACGGAGCAGTTCCAGCAGATGGGGCTCCAGTTCCAGCAGCTCGGTCTTCAGAACCAGTAGCTCATGGACCATCAGGTCCAGTTCTACCAGCAGTATTCGGCCCACCAGGCCGAGTACCGATCCAGGCTGACGGGATTTGACGAGCGCCTTGGCCGATTGGAGACCCACATGGGAGTCACTACTGCTCTCATCGAGCGGGAGAGAGATCGAGGCCGCCGTCTGATGGAGTATTCCGAGCATCTGCTCCAGGCTTGCCACCCTCCAGATGAGCACCACTGGACCACCCGGTGGGAGCATTCATCGCCACGGCAGCCACCGGAGGATGGTGTCGACGACCTTATGGATCAGATTGATTTCTCCGATCTTGGAGGGTCCTAGGGGCATGTTTTGAGAGTTTTTTTTTTATCTTTGTCAGCATGCAAACTGTCTGTTTTGTGTCGGTTTTTGTTTCTTTTTCTTTTCCTTTTGGATTCTGTACTATTGGGCTGACCATTAGACCTAACGTATGTGTTTGAGCTTGTTGGTTTCCTTTAGCTCTGCCTGTGTTCCCGACTGGTCCTCGCTCCAGTCCGTCCCATGCCGACAGGTCCATTCCAGTCTCCTGCAGTCTGTGCCCACCGGTAACATCGTTCCCCTTTCTTTTTCTCTTCTCCATTGAGGGCAATGTCGATCTTAAGTGTGGGGGGGATGATGTTTATTTTGTGACTGCATTCGATCTGTTTGTGTGCTTGGAGCCTAGTCCACTGTCCAAATCTTGAGATTTGAGGGCTCCAAGCACTACTGTTTGCTTGATGATTGATCGTATTGGCATTGTGGATGTGATTAGTAGATTGAATGGCTTTTGACTCGATGCATGACAACTTGAGTGTGACTAAGACAGCCTATTACGATGACTGAGATGCGCAGTAGAGTTGTGTAGGGGGTCAATTTTTAACTGTTTGCTTACCAACTGCGACCTGCATTTGATCACTTGCTTTTGACAGTCATTTATGCATCTAGTTCAGGAAATCAGAATGTGAGATAGAGCATATAGGTAGCCATGTGAGATTTGAGCCTGCTCGTTTCTTTCTTGTGCGTTAGATTCCTCTTCCATGAAATGTAGCATTCACGTTGTCTCTAAATACCCTTAACAACTAATTAACTAATAACTTCTCCTTAACTACCTAAAATTAAATCAGCCAATCACAACGCTTTTAAGATCCTCCTTAGAAAAAAGGGGGTTTAAGGACCTGAACTCAGGCCATTAAAAGACCATTGCACTAGTACTAATAACACACGAAAAACCCATATATGGGTTTGGGAGAGAGAGCTACCTCTGATTTTTCGTCATCGTATTCGTCGGGAAGGGGAGGAGGGCTAACGTAGGAAGGGAGGAGGGTCGTCGTCTTCATTGGGAAGATGATGAGGGTCGTCGTCTTCTCCATCGATCCCTTCGTAGTGCCAAGCTTGTGGAAGGAGATGGAGAGTCGCGGCGACAAACCTCGTGTTGCTCGGATAACAACGACAACCACCATCTAAGACGTAGCCTACGACGGAGGACAAGGGACGGAGTCGGAGGGAGAGGATCTTGTTGTTGCGTCGACGAACATGGACTGTGGCGGGGAAGAGGCGACGGCGGCGAGCAGGGAAAGAGGGAATCGAGGGAGAGAGGAGGAGACGAAAGGGAGAGAAAAAAGGGGAGACAAAAAGGGATTGAATTTTCTCTTTTCCAATGTTGCGAGAGAAATTAATTATGTAATTAATGCCTAATAAACAGCTGATTAATCCTTTCCATTGGATTAGATAGGCGATATCTAAGAGGGGTGTCAAAAATCATACCCACTTACGAGGTTAGCAAGCTAACCGATCCCTGCTTCTTATGGTGTGAGTTGGGCTTGTTGAGTTGGGTTTGAAGAGTTCGTTTACAAGCTATAATCGTATTGAGGTTGAGTTCGTATGTATCTTGTTGAGTCGAGTTCGAGCTTGATCTTGAAAAATGGGCTAAATGGTTGTTCTCTTCTAGGTCCAAGTGTTTTGCTTCTTATGGTGTGAGTTGGGCTTGTTGAGTTGGGTTTGGAGGGTTCATTCACAAGCTATAATCGTGTTGAGCTCGAGCTCATATTTTTCTTGTCGAGTCGTTTTCGAGTTTGATTTTTGTAGCTCGTATCACAGCTTAAGCCAAGCTCGAGCTGATGAATTTTCTGCCTCTCTGAGCTTGAGCTCGAACTAGGCTAGCTCAGTTCAGCTTGAGTTCGATCCCGAAGATCGTGAAAAATTATCGTTTCTCCATGTCAATAAAAAACAAAATTAGTTTACCATTGCCAAAGTCACGAATACATAAACAAATACTTAACTAATGGAGAAGTGCCTGGATATAAGGATATTCAATCTTCATATTCATAATGTAAGTCTGGCCTTGGATCTTGCAAATTAGGACGCAAACACCGAAGCAAACCATTAATGACAACGTTCCATTGCACATTCAATTAACCTTCCCCCTTTTTTAGCTGCAGCCTGCAAGTCGTCGTGAGCCTGTCCCAGGCAGCCATGTTCAACTCTGTAAATAACTTGCCCAAGAACTCCACCTTCAGTGTTTACTAACCCAAAGAGGAAAAGATTATGAAAGAAATCCCATCTTTTTCACAGACTTCCCAATTTCCGCCACCACCCTGATTTGCTTTCCCCTGATACGCCTATAAAGTCCCGTTCTTTCTCCTCCATCTCCACGGATTTCACCCCCTATCGCTGACAAACTGTTCGCCCATCGCCGCGTGAAATTTTTGGAGGGTAAATTAAGGGCAAATTTGCTCATCTCAACACGCTTTGAATCCTTCCTTCCCCCAGATTACGACAATTGGGAAAAGAAAAGCTCATTAAACAAACACTTCCCTCCTGGCCCCTGCCAGTCGAATCACGCCAAGAATCAATCAACCTTGGCCATCCTTTCAGAAAGCAATAAAGAAACGAAGTCGCTCGCTCTCCCATTTTCCGATTTTGAAGCTTCTCCTTCTTCCGGGTTCTCGCCTGCAAAGCAGCTGTCGCAAGAGGCAGGCGGGTGGAACTTCGTGACGGCATCAGGTTTTTTCTTTAATCGCGCCCTTACTCCTGCATTGCTTCGATCTATCGTTGTCGGTGATGGGTGTTCTTTGTCTTTCTTTGCCGTTACATTTGTGGGGAGTAGGGAGTGAAGTCAAGATCTAATGAAGGTCTGGGTCTTTTTATAACGTCTTGGGGGTGTTTGCGAACTTGTTAGTATATATGGAAATGGAGGTTAATGGGGAAGGTTCATCGAGCGGGGGCTCCAGTTCGGATCAGTTACAGAAAGAGAGATCTGAAGTTACCCATGTCCAGAAACTTCAGCTGGATGCATCTCAGCACGAGTTTCATCCGATGAATGCACTGGAGATCCTGAGAGAAACAGTGAGGATTCTCCGGTTCAATGCTGCATCTTTTATGCTCATTGCTACTTTCCTCGTTTGCCCAATTTCCGCTCTACTCTTGTCCAATGTATTGGTTGATCAATCCGTTGTGAAGAGACTTACCATTAGGTTGATGTTGATTGCCAAATCCAGTGGCCTTCCGTTGAAGCCTTTGATCAAACACTCATGTCACCGTTTAGCCGAGATGGTTGTCTCATCAGCAATGTGCTTCCCTTTCTTTCTCACTTTCTCTTTATCATCCAAAGCTGCTGTAGTTTACTCAGTGGACTGCACTTATTCGAGGAAAGAAGTTGATGTCTCCAAGCTTTTGGCGATAATTTGCAAAATCTGGAAGAGGGTCGCTTCAACATATGTATGGTCAAGTATGGTGATCTGTGGCTGTGTCACATTATTCGTTGTTCTTCTACTAGCACTATGCAGTACGTTTTCAGCATTTGGTCTTTGGGCAGAGTTGAATCTCTATGCTGCAATGTTGGTAGGGCTTGGTTTCTCGGTTGTTTTCGCCAATGCAATCATAATCTGCAACATTGCTGTTGTCATCTCCGTGCTGGAGGATGTTTCAGGCCCGCAGGCATTGCTTCGGTCAAGTAATTTGATCCGGGGCCAGACTCAAGTCGGGCTTCTGATATATCTCGGATCGACAATCGGTACAGCTTTTGTGGAAGGTTTGTTTGAGCATAGAGTGAAGACATTGAGTTATGGAGATGGGTCTTCCAGGATATGGGAAGGCCCTCTTCTGGTGATCATGTACTCATTTGTGGTGCTTGTTGACATGATGATGAGTGCAGTTTTCTACTATAGTTGTAAATCGTATAGGCTGGAGGCTGCGGAGGAATGCCAGTCGATGCTAGAGACCATCACTGTCTCCCCTGATTCGGTTGAAGTTCAGCAACATGGTGGAGCTTTCTCGAGTTAGAAAATGGAGAAGACAACAACACTTTCTGAAGATTAGTGGAACTTCTGATTCTGCAGCGGATGGCTCAGTGTTCTTCTGTTTAAACGGAAGTAATTCAGTGAGCGGCGTGGCAGCAAGCTATAAGAAAAAGGAAACTGTAAAACTTGGATGGAGTTTTTAGACTGAGGATGTGAACAGAAGCTGCCCTTTTGGAGGTGAAGTCCAATTTTTCTGTTTCTCCTCAACTTTGCATATAATGTTGTATTGTTGTCTCACATGGTAGAGAGAATTCAGTTTCGGGAGGTGATTTTTGTGTTGTACTTCATCGGAAGATGGTTGTTCCCAGTTTAGGTTGAGAGAAGATTATACAGCATACGTCTGTGTATCGAAACTGAAAATGATTCATTCACTTACATCAGGCATCTGTAATTCTTTGTTGTTTCATAGTTAGTCTTTCCACCAATGAATCACCATTGTTCTGAAAGGCCTGTCTCTGAGTTTTTGTATTCTGTACTCCCCCATACAGCTAGTTTTTCCAGTGCCGATGCCTTTGAGAATTGTTTCAATGTACTTGTTCGTAGTATTATGATCTCACATGGTAGAGAGAATTCAGTCCGGAGAGGTGAATTGTTTGTTACGTACTCCATCACATACTACATCGAAAGATGGTTGCTCCCAGTTTAGGTCCAGAGAGAAGATTATACAGCATATATATGTGAATCGAAACTGAAAATGCTCCATTCACTTACATCAGTCATCTGTAATTCTTTGTTGTTTCATATGGTAGTCTTTCCATCAATGAATCACCATTGTTCTGTAAGGCATGTCTCTTGTGTTTTTGTTTTCTGCACTCTCCATACAGCTGGTTTGTCCAATGCCTTTAGTCTTTGAAAAGTGTTTCTTGTTCCAAAACTATTATTGCTTCTTTGCCAATCGAAAGAGGAAGAGATTGCCATACTGTTCAGGATACATTGTCCATGTCTCTTTTCTCTGTAGCACCCTCTTCTCTTATTCCTGTGATGCCACTGTAAAGCTTCCTGACTTCCGGACTTGAGCTTCCAATGCTTCACTACTGAACTCAGTTGACTTACTAGAATCGATTCTTTTCACAGATACGCTGCGCGGAAAGAAGGCCTGTCCTATATCATATTGAATTGAGCCCTTGTACCGGACCGGGGGACATAAAGATGGCTTGAAAGGGCCTTTTCTTAAATCCTTGAGGGCATATATAAGAACTAATGGGCGGGACCAACCACATATAAGAAAGACTAGAGAAGATCCATCTTCCTTAGATAAGGAAAGACTGAATTCTACCTCCTTTTTAATATAAGTTTCTATCAATAGAGTGAAACTCTTCCCTTGTTCCATATTAGCACTTTGCCCTTCTTGCTCGGCAGGTTCTGAACACATTAGACTTTGAATCACGATTGTTCTATATTTCCTATCATTTTGCTCTTGTTTGTTTTCACTAGGTTACAACGATCTGAGAGCAAAGGAAAGAATTATTATATTATAGGCCAGTGAAAGAGAAAAATGAACTCTTTGGCTGACCTATGATAACCACACATCCAAATATGGGTAGGTCCCACTTCTTATTTTTAAATTATGAAGAAGTCGCTTCATTCTTTCTTTTCAATCATTGATGTATCGCTTCCCACCTTAGGACAGATCTTAGGAGTCGACCAAAGGAAATATTTTGCTTATGGTATGAGAGATCTAAGTCTTTAAAATGTTGAAACAAGTCAGCCCTTACGTACTACTGCTTATTGTAGTTCGACCAATCCTTTGGGATTTCAACTAAAAATCGCTGGTTCCATAACAAAAAAGAGGCAAGTCTTCCTATATATGAGACCTTGCTTTAGTTATTTAATGATCGTCACGCTTTCACTTTTATTATTATTAAAGCCACAGAAATAAGGCTTTGGATACTGAGTAAACCTCATCTTCCTAAATTTTTTATTTGATTTCCTAGCCCCCTTATCTCACTGATGGCTTGGCAGCTAGTCTCACACTGATCCCACTGCTGCTAGAAGCTACCAACTCTAAGGGGATCGGTCTTTAAGAAGGTCAACCTCACCCCCAGTAATCACAGCTTTCTTCCCCTAAGATCAAAGAGTAAGAACTCGCTTTCGAGCTAACCTTACATGGAGCTACCTGCCTACAAGCAACAAGAGTTCACGGCTAACTAAGCATTCGTTCAGAGTTTACAGGGGATAGGGTGTACTTTCCTATATTATGTTATGATGGATAGGCTGGCTGCACTCCCTTTGAGGTAAAAAAAGATTCAATTGCAAAAAAAACCTATTTTTAGAGTTTGATACGAACACTAAGCCAAACAATTAAAAAAAAATAATAGACTCTCATAATAAGACAGAAGCATCACTCTGTCTGTTGGAGGCCCTATTCCTGGAGAAATAAGATCCTGAATAGCCTTTGGCTAGGAAAGCACAGTCAGACTAGTGCCGCGCCCAAAGCACCAAGACTGCTTATTCCGCTAAAACTGTAAAGAGACAAGACTTATGCCGGAAAAGTAATAAAGTAAAGTGCTAACGTGCAGCTCCCATTTCGAATAAAAGAGAAAGCCTAAGAGAAGACTATGCTACCAATCCTAGCTGGTACCGAAGCCAAGGGGAAGCATTTGAACAATAGGAATGAAAGAAGAGCTTAATCTACGAGATTCCGGATTGGAAGCGGGTCCGATATCCGATCTCCCACTGACGTAGGAATGGAAATCGACCTGTTTTTTCATAGGCCCCTCCTTATCTTATCCACACGGACGAGGGGTTAGACTTTGAGCTTTAGGATACCGCGCCACACACCTCATCTGGGAATCGGAAGCGAAAAAATGGGATATCCACCCAAACCGGTGCCTTTTTTAATGTGGTGGAAGTCAACCTTTTTTGTTTTGCGGTTTCATAATCAGGTTGGGTTTTTGAAGCCCGACTTTATCAGCCTTGCGGGCAGATCGTGCTGTTGTTAGCCTCAATGTCGTCTCGTGGATAGCAAGGTAAGTTTTGTGTCGCTCGCATCCATTTTTTCAGTGAGTTCTTGCCTGTATAGTTTGCTCTCTAGAACAGAGATCTAGCAACGCATTCTAAGCACAGATAATAGGTATTGGATGTATCGTTAGGTTGTGACGAGTAAAATCTGCTCCCCTTTTTCCGTTGCAGAAAAGAGATCCCTTCCCCCCGCTTTTAAAAATGATGAATATGAAGTCTGGAAGGCTGCAGGTACTATGGATCCTCTGACTCCCAATCGGGTTGCCTTCCCAGGTCTCGTCGGTCTTGCCTGTAGGTCGTGATGGCCTTGAGATGGCCGTCTCCTGTCTACCTGCCGGTGGGTAATCCGCTCCCGGGTCGTCGCTCTGCTGCGTCTGGCCCGTCCTCTAGGCACCTTTGGATGACATGAAGACTGATTCTTCTATAAGAGAAACTTTCTCAGTCGAAGGAGAAACTTAATTCAAATCTCACTTTAAGACGGTTGTTAGCCGTCTCAGTAAGGGTAGTGAGCAAGTTTAGGTTTAGGAATAGGAATAATTCTTAGGAAGCGAAGCAACCTCTTCTCTTTCCGTTTCTCTTGATCTCTCACATATTTTAAACCTTTGCTTCTTTCTCCAAAATAAAAACTAGCCCGAGGCTTGCTGGAAGGAAAAATATATTTGCCACAACAATATGCTCTACATTACCTGGCCCTGTGTTTCCTGCTCGATAGGCTGCTAATGCTCGGAAGGGGAAGGAGACAGGGAATGACTTCTGCTAGGGGGCGTAGAGTTTCCGTGTCCGTCATTGGTCTTCTGCCAGACTAAAGTAGTCGCGCAACCTCTTTTCGACAAGAGCGGATATGCGATATACAACCGATATCCGACATGAGAGAGATTGGGCATTCTTTTTCTTCTCTTCTACAAGGTGCCATGGCGCGGGGCGAATTCATGGGGTGCGAGTTGCACGTACTGCTCCCGCTATTTCGCATCTCCTATTTGCTGACGATAGTCTGTTATTTCTCAGGGCTTCGGTGATGGAGTGCCAGGTCGTTCAACAATTATTGACCTGTTATGAGGAGGCCTCTGGTCAGAAAATGAACTTGTCAAAGTCAGCAATCGTCTTCAGTGGCAACGTCCCTCCTGCTTTGCAATCTACTATTACGTCTTTTCTAGGCGTCACTTCCACGGGTGACTTGGGGCGTTATTTGGGCTTGCCGTCTGTCCTCGGTCGGAGGCGCACCACGGTCTTCCAAACTTTGGTAGAGCGCGTTGCGAGTAGGCTGCAGGGATGGAAGGAAAAGTTATTATCCAAAGCCGGCAAGGAGGTCTTAATTAAAACTGTGCTACAGGCCCTCCCCTTATATATGATGAGCTGTTTCCGACTTCCAGTTTCAGTGGTGCATCAGATTGAGTCTTTGATGGCTAAATTCTGGTGGAGTAATGGAGAAGGTTCCCGGCCTATACATTGGCTCCCTTGGTCGACTCTCTGCCTCGCAAAAAGGGATGGTGGGTTGGGCTTTCGGAGATTCTCTTTGTTTAATGACGCTCTTTTAGCGAAGCAGGGCTGGCGTATTGTTACTAATCCATCTGCTTTAGTGTCTCAGATTCTACGGGCTCGCTACTTTCCTCGTGGTAATTTTTGGGTAGCGTCGCTCAGATATCAGCCTAGCTATGTCTGGCGCAGTATTCTTGCAGCTAGGGAGTTGCTGCTGGTGTTCGGTGGCGGGTTGGTACTGGGGTGGGCATTCGGTTATGGGATGATTCATGGGTGCCGGGCTTTCTGAGGTACGAAGTCACTCGACTGAGTTGGAGAGGATAGGAAGCCCTGAGATTGATGGAGCGAAAGCCACTCTGGATGCCTCGGTTTCTGCCCTTATTGATGACGACACTGGGAGTTGGAATGAGGAGTTGATTTCATCTATTTTTCCTGCCAATGTGGCGGCGGCTATTAGTAGCATACCATTGAGTTGGCGCCGTCCCCTTGATCGCCAGATTTGGAGTGGCACTAGAGATGGGGTGTACTCTGTGAAGAGTGGCTATT